TTACAGTTATATGCTCCTTATTCTGATAAAACCGCTTCTTTCTGGGTGGATGTAACTCATCCGTTAAGGAAAAATAGCTTTTCAAACAGAAACCCAATGTGGAACTATTATAAAATAGGCAAATCAAAGAGAAAAATGCCCAAAGCGGAGTATTTCAGCACCCTTGAGGGCGAGCTTTCAGTTTATCAACCCCAGGTGCATTAAGATGTACTGGACTGGACTACAGAAGCTATGAAAGGGAGTAAATTGATGGCGCAGCACAAAAATGCAAACCTCGAAGGTTACGGGAGGCTTGCAGAATGTGTCCCAATGCAAATCGGGCCTGCGGGCTGAAACCAACAATGTTAAAGCTCTTCACGACAAAAAATTAGGAGTGATGTTGGGCGCAGAAGTACAGTGAATATCGCAAGAAAGTCTCTGGAATATAACCTACAAGGTGAATTATATCCCTGTGCCAGTATTTGGAAGTAGTCAACTAACTTGAACACCAAGTCTGTTTTAGATTGATTTTTGAGGGTTCTCATGCAACTGAATGGAAAATGAGTGATGCTTACTGAAGTTGACATGTTCTTGATTTATTAAAATTCTCCTATATCCTTCTTTATCGATTTAGAGTATTGATTCATTGAAACTTGGGGCATCCCGTAGAGTGCATATTAAGCAAGAACATTTTCATATGGTATCGACTCCTAAAAACATTTTTAAGTTCTGAGTTAGAACATTTCGGCATTTATCAAGTATTAGGGGAACTTGGTGTCCAAAAAGTTGGTCAGGCACATAGGCGTTCGGGCTAAACACAAATCTATGTATACACTAAATTTATGCCCCGGGATAACATAATACAAGTGGTTACCAAGGCCTTCATCGATTTCAAGTCAAAATATTTTCAGTTGCGCATAAGTTCAAGTGGACGTTTAAAAAACTGTTGTTTAAATGAAATTCTGAGAGCTATGCTTTTCCAAAGCAGGGAAAAGTTTTAGTGAGCTTCGTGCGAATTTCGAGCGACTGCATCACACTACACATACCAAGCAAGGCTAACAGGTTTTACTTCCAATAGAACAGAAGCGTTTCGTTAAACCTCTGCTCAGTAGTTTCCCCAAAACCGCTCACGCAAGATCAGCTCACAGATTTACAGAAACTAATATATTCAGACGTAAACGGCACCCAACAATTAGGCATACCTGGATTACGTCTAACGAGATCCTCTGCTGATAACTGACTGCAACTTGCAAACTTTTGGTGTGAGTATCATCATAAGACGAGCTTGTATATGTCCGACCCGAGGAATATTTCACTGAGCACACGAGACATAACAGCGGGACATAGTGGTGTTGTACAGCAGAGTACGGATGGGTACAGTGTAACATAGATTTTATTGCGTACCATTGTATCTTACGGCTTTCTGTATCGCAGTAGAACAGAGTGATGTTTGAACTACTCCCCAAACGTTCGAGAATCCATTCACTATTTTTTATCTAAGGCCGCCTCGTTTCCTGCCACGCGGTATAACTTTGCACTCATAGCTACTAATACCGTGCCAATCTGTTACCTGCGTAGGGATGAAAGCCTTTCGCTGCTGAGTCTCTTCTCAGCAAACTCGAACTGAGCAGTTACAAATTAGACAGTAAAAGTAAACATCTCATATGTACACAGTCTTTAAAAGTGGGAAATTCTCGCACGTATTCTTGAACTTTCCTGGATATTCAATGACCATTACACAACTGTAAACGAACACTGCAAAGGAGTTCCACAAGTTCCATTATAAACTTCACCTTCCATCAAATGCTTGGGCGGAACTTGGACATCAAACATAGGCTACTCGCATGCTTCATCAGTAGTATCCAGCGCCATACCCATATCCCACCAACTGTGCTCGATACCCGCAAGACCCTATCAAGCAAACTTATGTAACGCTTGGTTATCTTTTCTTCCATTATTATTAGTTTTTCTTGCTTTGTCATACACTAAAGATTCACCTCTGAGAAAATAAGGCAGTTCTCAACGTAGCGAGACCAATGCTTCAGTCACTGTTTTTTTGTTATTTTGTGACAATGTAACCGAGGACCATTTTCCCAAGCGGGTCACCTCATTAGGGCCTGAATGACTTCAAATAGTGAATGCGATTGCATCGGTGTTCTGACGTTGCAGGAACGTCATAAGAATTTAACCCACCATGTGAGGACCATGGTTATGACTATGGGAAGAAATTTAAGACAGCGAAAATTCGAGACACCCAAGCTGCATGAGACATCTAGTAGATACCTGGAGTTATTGGTCCAATTTTGAGCATTGGTCTGTCATACGTTGTGTCGTTGGTGTGTATATGGTGGTTAAACCAACGCAATCTGAAACACGTATGCGACGATCAGTCACCAATTTGAACGTTCCAAACATTTTCGATTTATGGTGGTAACAAGAAGACAATAGCATGGCGAGTGAGGTGATTCTTCTTTGGTTTTCACGTTTTGATCAAAGCCGTGCAACAAGATGATTATACATTATTGTGCGTCATCTCATCCGTGAAACAGTTATCTTGGTTTGTGAAGGCAAGTCCCACTAAGCAAAAAAATGTGTTATTGATGGGTAAATTTTCACCACTTTCGTTTCTATCACAAAAAGCGTGAGCTTACCCACATAAGCAGTGTGGCCCTAATATATTTCAAAATAATATTGTGTTAATTTTTTTACGCAGAAAGCATGTCGGTATGTCAGACCATCACTACACTTTACTCAACTGCGTACTGACGATATCACCTTGATAGAGGAAGAAAGGTTCGGGCCAAGAAGCAATTATTCACAAAACCTGAGCTGAGAGCATGCCGCTAGTTGGCAGTTAGTTCGCACTATCTAAGATAGAAGAGTTGATTCGTTAGAAACGCGGATACTTCCGGTCTTATTTACGTACTACATATTTTCCACCTATGTGTCGGTCAACCTGCACATGTTTGTGGGCAGCGGGGAGCCTAAGGCCCTTCGGTCAGATGGCTGACAATCAAGTGGCCCAGCGACGTTTGCCTGTGCGGTGAGAAGGGGTTGGGAAGGGACATCGGTGGACGCTGAACGGCGCGGGCAAATGATACTTCCCGCTTGCCCAGGCCGAGGAAGGGGGTTTGGTTGAGGTACCCCACCTTGAGCCTTCGACTCAAAAGTCTGACCCACAAGGCAGTGGGAGGACGTAGGGTTTTGTTCGGGGACCCTGACCCTAGCCTCTGACTCAAAAGTCTGACCCACGAGGCAGTGGGAGAATGTAGGGTTTTCTTTGGGGACCCTGCCCGGAGCCGATGACTCAATAGTCTGACCTGCTCGGCTGCAGGGGGTTGGCCTAACCCGAGGGCGCAGGGAATAAGGCATTACTGTCTCATTCCTGATGCGGCTGCGCACAGCAGGTGCCTTTTGAGCAGCACCGGGCTCTTTGGTTTTAAAAGTATTTCGACCGTATCGGATAATGCGCCGGCGGTCACGGTCAACCGTTGGGCGATCGGAGTGTGCGGTTTTTGGGGCCGACCTTTTCTAACCCGTCCTTCCTCGGGGGAAGGCAGCATCGCTGCTTCCATAAATATGGACATGCTGGTCGCCTGGGGGAAACACCTTACTGCCTTCACACTCCTGTCACAGAGGACAGTACGACTTTACCCCCAGACCGCCCCGTACCACGATTGCTCGTAGTACGGGGTCTCGCTGCTCTTGGTCTGGCTGCTCCCCTTTGGCCTTCCTGGCATGGTTGCAACTTGTGAAACGAAGTTCCAGCCAGTGTAGCCCGCGGGATCATTGCAGCACTCAAGCCCGACCACCACGTCTAGGTGGCAACAGCACATACGCACAGCACAGGAGCCTGAGCACGTGATTCCCAAATGCACAAGCATAAAGATTCCTCAAAGAATTTTGTTCGAATGTACACTTGAGTGCCTCGGGAAACGAATCCTATTTGCAAACAGGAAAGCAAAGTAGAAACCTCTAGTTATCCCTCCATTTATGCTGACCAATCAGATGGAACGGTGGCTAGTTCGCAGCCGCTTGTTGACCCGTAATCCTACATGGCGTGAACTGCGTCTCACAAGCACAAGATGCAACATCTGACCATTTGCATACGTTTGCTGATAGGTGCGATTGGCGCGTCAATCCACAAATTGAATGCCTTGAAGTAACGACCAATATTTTAGACCTCGTTCCGAAGCAATATACTCATCGTGAGCGAATGGTTTTGCGGCGATTCAAAATATAACAAGAATAAACAGGAATAAAGGAAAATTAAACTACTACTTCAGAAAGGTTGATGTGGGATCGGGGGAGATAATTGTTTGAAAAGATTGGCAAAATTAAAACAAACCGCTAAATGGAAGCTTCAGAAGCCTCGACAGCACAAATTCGCACTACCCGCACTAAAATTGGGTCTTGCGTTCAGCCGTGATTAAGGACGATTTGCTTGAAAGAACGAGATATACACAGACAAGTATATCTCGATTCTCAAGTCAAGCACTTCTATTTCGGCCGGTGCGTATAACAGCTAGGCTGTGGGCGTAAATGAACGTTTGTCCCACTAATTGGTTATTGTTACAGTGTATCAGGTAAATCTCCAACTTGTCTACATGTTTAGTCTATCTAACCAAGTTGTCGGCATTTCATAAATGTCACAGAATAATATTTTCTGTGTACCATTTGTCATGTCACGTGACCATCACCTGCCATTGAATGATTAGACAATTTTTCTTGTGACATTTCCTCTCCACTGTTGGTGTGGTTTTTAAACGGTGGTTTTTAAATGCAAAGCTGCGGTTGGACTATTTACTTGCTTATTTAGTATTCTGTTCATAGCTACACCAATCTCGTTTGAACGGCCGTGTTCCTGTTCGTTCTGGCGTAATCATTCCGGTGAGTACACACCAAAGGGAAGCACTGAACTCGAGTTACGCTCTTACTAGAGCTAATCAGCAGCGCATATCCAATGGCCGTGCCGGAATTTGAACCTCGGACATCTGACATGCGAGGCGAGTGTGTAACCACTACTCCACCAACGCACGTTGGACGCGACGCATCTGAATTTTCACGTCTGAACAGGCCAACGAGTTCAAACTTGTGATCCGTGTGCCCAACTCATCGAACGACGACCCAGCAACTGTCCTGGTTATGACGATCGATTGACCCGCCAGCCAGGAATTCCCGGTCAGGTAGCGTGGCACACACTTGAAACCCACTGGGCGGAATTCTGGTTGCAATTTCGGGGTTTCGCGGGGTAGGCATTTTGTTCATAGCCATACCATACATTTCGCTGCATAAATAATTCTTTAGGAAATCTGTGACTTGGGGATTGTGCATGCTTTGTTTTATTCTTCATGGATCATGATGGAACGTTTGTCCCGAGAATAATGTAACAATCCAGAAACAAGAAGATTACTCAGAAGCTCAATATTCGGAAGCTGACTACCAGAAACAGTTGTTTATTGATATATTTTGAGTACAACAGTCTGTCACTGGAGAGGCAATGCGTGATTAGGCTCCTCGTTTCTTCCCATAAATTTCGGACTAATAGTTTAGTACTAAAAGTAATGAAAACAATATAATAAATTAACAACTATTGAACAAAACTGCGTAATAAAGCGATCTGACGAGGCCGGCATGCCAAAACACTCACAAATAATGGCACAAGGTTTTTAGAGATTTATCCAAAACGTTTATTCATTTTGTTCACCAAACAGAAAACAAGCATTTTTCAGGCAGCAAAATTTGTCACAAAACTTATTATTCAACTCTGTAGAATGTTATTATCTTTATGCCTAGTTTTCGCAATTCTGACTGCAGACGAAACAAGTGCACGGCACGTTAGATAAATATTCGCATTTGTTTTCAATTAATCAGCATTGGTATGACAAATGAGATACATTATTTTGGCATTATACAAAAAACTACTGAGCAGTGTCTATGAACATTTACTTTTGTTTTTATTATTCAAACGATTCCCATGCTCAGGAAACATTTTCCAACCAGTAGATTGCGATGTATTTTGCATATGCTGTCTCCAAGTCGGGAAGCGGAGCAAATTCTCACAGACGGAGAAGATAGTCTCATCAGTCAAATAGCTTCCTGAGTGTTGGTCACGCCCATGGGCATCCGATAACTTCTGGGTCTACTGGAATTCTCAGTATTTTGCCACTTGGCGAAACAACGTTAATGAATTTATGAAGTAGGTGGTGCTCTCAACCAGACACTTTGGTGTTGGACACGCAAAACGGGCATCTTTTTACGTTGCTCATTATGAATTAAGTCCTTGAAAAAATGTGTGCTGGTGTTAGCGAATATACACTCATTTGCGAACTAATTTGCTTTTTCGAGAGACTCACCTGGAACTCAGCTAAATTTCTCGTCTGTAATCTTCTCAAATGAGTGAATATTAGCTAATTTCGTGCAATTTGGTTCCAAGTAGAACATAAGGTTGACGGAAATCCGGGGAGTGCGCTTGCCTGATGATCCCCAAAAAGGGCGAAACCGTCGGCGGATTTTCAGCAACCTTATGAGTAGTACATTACAAAGGTGTTCTGGTCTTCGCCATGAGAGAAGGTCAAGTATTTAAAGTGTGTCAATTTATGGGGTCTTAAACATATAATGTAACACAGTGTTGTCTGAAATCGACATTGATATTTATGTTGTTTCCAGATATTCATTGAAGGTGCATGTTAATTCAGCAAGAGGTAGCTGGCCGCCGAATCACCGCAAATAACTGGAGTATTGTTTGAGCGAAAAACTTCTACAGGCCTAGTGAATAAGTTACAAGGTTGATCGTGCACAAAGGCCATCGGTGAAACAGTCCGTGAGATTTCCAATGACTAATCGACTTGAGAAGTACAAGCTTTGGTTCGCGTTTGTTCGTTAGTAGGGATGACTAACATTTAAAATAGATTGAGCGGGGACTTTTTCATTAAATTTTGATCGGAATTTTCAGGCCTTATACGGAATATGCCTCTTGGGTGTCGTTCACAGATTTTGTTGATTTGTGTACATAAAGGGGTGCCAGAACAATAAGACCGGGACTAAAGTTGGGGCTTTTGGTTTGATCACCGAAAACAGCGCACCGCCTCGTGTTATTTTGGCTCATCTGAAGCCAAATGTCCGCGTTTTTTATGGAACGACTGCTGTTCCAACCCAGTCCTTGTCGGGTCTTGGTGTCGGGAACTGTACCCGTTTTGATGGCCGCTTACTATACCCCCACTGTGCTTCTGTGCGTCCAATGTTTTGAAGTTGCTTTTTTCCTTTAAGTTGTGCTGCTCCTCGGTCAATTTCTCATGTGCGCAGTGCTCTTAACCTGCCAAACTTTGTTTAAACTGTACTAAGATAAACCGTTCTCGGGTATGCTGAGGAGCAGTTTAAGACCGCACGACTATCTGCTGAGTTCTGGTAAGAAGTCGGTTTTTGATGGATATGCTTGGCTGGAGAGATTGGAAGCAAACGAGGTGAAACACTGCGAATAGATTAATCGAAGAAACAAACATGGTCTTTAAGCCTGATCTATATAAATAATTTTGAGTTCTGGTAAGAAGTCGGTTTTTGACGGATATACTTGGCTGGAGAGATTGGAAGCAAACTAGGTGAAACACTGCTAATAGATGAATCGAAGAAACAAACATGGTCTTTAAGCCTGATCTATATAATTGACGATAAGCAAAGGTGTGCCGTTTCGTGGGAATAAGCGATTTGACTTGAACAACAGATATAAAAATTTCAAACCCATGCGGTTCTCGAGACATTTTAATGCTGCTTTAGCTCATCGTGGTACTGACGTTTTTCGGCGGGTAAAATAAATCTTCTTGACTCGGATGGATATTGTTGCTTTTTCTACAAAAGCGGAAAATCCCGGCAAATTATGGCTGGGATGAATTACGCTAGTAAATTTTCTTGAGGTGTAGTCCCTCCTTTGGGTCTGTTAAGGCATGTGTGCATGTGTGTTTGTTTGTCAAAGGTCACAATATTTCCATGAATCTACATCAAAAAGCAGTTGACAGATTAGCTAGATCTGGTTCGGTGTACATTTCAAAATTCAACTTATTACGTTAAACAAATCCACACGAACGTTGTTTGACGAGATAGGAGATTTAAAAAATGTCAGCCAAACTATCCTTGAAATTTAATATATTTATTTCCACTATTTTGAAAAAAATATTATTAGTTTCATTCATTATATCAAGCGGAATTCCTCCGAAAATGCAACAAAAAATCAAACGGAATTGGCTTGTTCGAACTTTAGTTGGGACGCTCATTTGTGTATGCGCGAGAGTGAAATGTTCAAGATTTCCTCTGTAATATTTTTAATGTTTACTAATTATTCAAACTAACGTATTTGTTTTTTTCGATTTCCCCAATGTCTTTGTATTTCTAGTAACAGCTAGATGACAAGAATTATACCGTTTTTTTTTTCCGTAATTCCAACACATTGGATTGCTACTTTCCTAATGCGCACTGTGTCGCAACACTAGCGAAACACACGCACCTAACGTTACCTTTGCAACGTCATCTTCTCCTTGTCTGTGCTTGGCATTTTTATCACATTCCAGCTCTAGTGGTTATTTCAGGGGCTAAAACAATCTCCACATGAAGCAAAAGTAATATCACTAGGGGAAAATATTTGGTTCCTTGTACAATGCATTGATTTTGGCTTGGGTAGGTCAGATTGACATCTAAAATTGCTGCATGCTCCTCCGACTTTGGAAAATAAATAATACAACAATTCCGGATGCTTTTGTGTCAGTCCTTCACTGGTTTTGCAAAACACCTTGCGAAACAGACCCATTTGTGTATGATTTCTTTCATTTTGAAAAAATGGCAGTAGGTCCAACAGTTGCGGAAATAAAAGAGAATAATAAGAAATAAATTGTTAACGGAACTCTGATTTTTTTCTGAACGATGAAAAGCGACATTTTTCACAGCAGCAGTAATCGACAAAAGATGCTTTTGCACCTGAGTTGGATCAACGCTACCAAGTTAACATAAACGGACAGATTTAATTCATCACGTAATTTGTTTCAAACGATTAGTAGGGGAAGCCAAACACCACAGTAGATGCATGTTTAATATGATCGCCCAATATCCCAGCTTCGTCCATCTGAAATCCTCTTAGCTGCGCGATTTCAAGTAAACCGAAAAACTGGCATCATTCGTCTTATCAAAGCAATGCAATATCTATAATATATTTTTTCTACTGACGTGGCCCTTGAAGCATCTCCATTTGAAGCGTATCTTAAATGGGGGACTCAACTGAAGTTCGACTGAGCCTCCCTACGAAACCAAAGTAGTGTGTAGATGAAAGAATTTCGTGAATTGCGTCTAACTTGAACTCAAGCAGAACACAAGGTTTACAGAGGAAAACTGTGGGCTTCGCTTGGCTCATAATCCGTATGAGCGGTGAACCCGGTCATGGGCTGTCAAACTTTAAGGTGACTTCGTGAACACTGCCTGGAAATAAAGTATTCGCTCGAAAACAACAAAATCTAATTTCATAGCGATCTGCAATAATCCCTTCACGATTATTTTATCATAATGCCTTCTGTTTCCAATCTTACATCGCCAATGTCGTATAAACATGGTCTAAGAATATACGTAAAGATTGGTCACTTGCAGATGCAGAGAATTGTGAACCATCAGTTGAGAAACATTTGGTGTTCAGAATGAAAACACGATTAATGGAACATCAGGGCACTGCTCCTGCCTGGTGTGCATCGAGAATAACACAACGAACATTTTAAGTAGTGTTCTGCTAAGATGATGCACACGTTTCTTTCCGGAACACTCGTTGTGCAGTTTCGATTTATGCTGATGGAGCGGAAAACCCACTATTATCTTCTTTCGGCGGCGACAACCCTGAAACGAGCGTGCTCCTGGCCCCGGCGCTGGCGAGCTTTCCACTGGTAAGTGGTGCACGACTGAAGAGAGTACAATCTTCCCGTGTTTAAAAGTAGTTTCCACACATAGGCAAGTGTTCACCTGATTTTTTCACTCGTATCAAGGTCATCTTGTTCACTAAGTCTGATTTATAAAGATCGTAATTATCGAATTTCCGACCAGCTAACAAGAAGACCATATTTCATGACACGAATAATCTAGCATCACAGTGTGCATGCACAACTGATCGAATTATTGCGACGTTCTACGTCTCCCAGGATCTTGTGAGCCTTTATGCCACCCAATCCAATTGCCAGGTCGACATTTTGAACTTAATTTGCTCATATCTAGACCCATGTGTGATACTTGGGTATATTAACCAAAATATGGTCATCAAGTTAGTCGCAAAGTGTGTGAAACTATTCTTCTCCGACCAGCTAACCATATTTCATGACACGAATAATCTAGCATCACAGTGTGCATGCACAACTGATCGAATTATTGCGACGTTCTACGTCTCCCAGGATCTTGTGAGCCTTTATGCCACCCAATCCAATTGCCAGGTCGACATTTTGAACTTAATTTGCTCATATCTAGACCCATGTGTGATACTTGGGTATATTAACCAAAATATGGTCATCAAGTTAGTCGCAAAGTGTGTGAAACTATTCTTCTCAAGTTTGAAAATCTCAGAAAGCAGTAAGGCTACACTAAATCCGCTAAAAAATTTCTGTCGATGCCGTATATTGTCAAACGTTTGTGAAGTACCAGCAGGCCACATCAAAAGATGAACCTGAATTTATTTTAAAAACAACGTGCAGGCAGAGATGGGTTAATAATCATCCGTTTACAATTTGAAGCAAATTACTGCCTAGTCTAACAGGATTTTGTTTTTACTGTGTGACACTTACCTCCTATTATCACGTTATGTTTGTCTGGATGGAACGCTACCACTTCATGTTTTACACGCTGTCCAGAATTGACTTACTGATTAGAAATTGACGTGTGACTACACCGACAGACCTAAGCTCACTCTGACCTTAACGTTCTGTTTTTTTCTTCTTAGCTTGAAGATCTGACAGTTGTCATAGTGATATAAAGACAAAGCAGAACAAAAAGGCAAAAAATATGCGTGACTATCGATAGCTAGACTCAGTGGTGTCTAAGCTGTGCAACAAACATGAAATTTACTTAAACGTTTCGGTTGACAAAATCTGGAGACTCTAAAAGTGAGATGTTTCGGTGTTTTGCTATTACTCATTGTCCAGACAGGCACATAACTCAGAAAAGACCTGTGAAGTGCAGTGGACAGATGTTGTGGAAATCAGACAGAAACCCGTCGTGAATTTTTGGCTTGGGAGTTTGTGTAAACGGTGTGCCATTGCCATTTAGCGTGTTACAGAAAACTTGTTTCCGTTGCAGTCGTGCAAAAGCTAACGGGCTATCCAGAGATTTGGTTTTTGTTGAACTATCGACAAGCAAGAAACGGTTGTACAAATGTAAACGTCAACGAGACATCGGGTGTCCTAGATTTGGTAAACGATTTATCTCGGATAGACAATTGAACTTTGCGATCATTAGAGCGTATACGACATATTTCATCTGGGCAAGGGTGTGGAATTATCTAGGCTTTTAGATCCCGTTGTGGAAAAGAAACCTTCCAATTTTCAGCATTTGGATTTGACTCTAAGTAGTCAGTTTTTTACCAAAATTGTTCACTGAGTATACAACCCTTCGGTCATCACACAGCTTGCGGGCACCAGCCCAAAACGACCGCAGGTGTTGGCACTACTGAAGCCATGCAACATCCTGTGTTATAACCCTTTTCGCACTTCTTTCGAAACAGTGTAAACGTTTTGTCTTGGATTACGTCACACGTACCCAGTTCTTTTCTTTACTCCTTCCAAGAATTTGTTTCAAGCAGATTCAGGCTGTACCATTCTGCATCACTGTTTTTCCACACGGGTTTATGTCTGCTTGACAGACAGTCCAACCCTCAATATCTCTGGCGAAGAACAATGATTTTGTTGGTTAGACTTTAGCAACACAAAATTTCCTCACTTGCGCCCCACGGTAAAACGGAAGTAGTCGATAGTTCGATAGTCAATTTGGAAACTGATGCTGGTTTTCCCATCCCATGAGTGCTGATGTTGTATAGGACTTCCGCGATAGGTTTTCAGAGTGAGGCAGCCAACATTTTTGGATGAGGTCGTGCATGTGGGACAACTATCGGTTCTGAAACTGCATAAATCTTTTACTAATTCATATGTCGAACGAAAACCTGACTGCTCTGCTCAGTGTAAAACTGTGTAGGTTTTAGTTAGTTTCGAACTATTAGCGGATGTCCGGGTTGCGGTTGTTAGAAGCTATTTAGGGGCGAGTTAGAAACATTCATCAAACCATGTGATCAGATATATTCGGTCCTTTGTCTTACCTCATCTGACCTCTCAGCAAGCCATTCGTTGTGCAGTCGGAGTGGTTATTGCTAACTGGATAACGACTTAGCACATTTGCTTTCGCCAGTGCCGAAATGCGTATCGGAAACGGCCAAATTGAGCAGCTTTGGTGTGGTAGTACTAAAAAAATGCTGCTCCTCCGAAGCAGCCCTGACTGGCGGGTCAATCGATCTTCACAAACAAACAAGTTACTGGGTCGTCGTTCGATGAGTCGGGCACACCAATCACATCGCTCATGTTTGAACACGTTCGCCTGTTCAGACGTGAAAATTCAGATGCGCCCGACGTGCGTTGGTGGAATAGTGGTTACACGCTCCCCTCTCACGTCAGACGTCCGGGGTTCAAATTCCGGCACGGCCATTGGGTATGCACTGGTGATGAACTCTAATAAGAGCGAAACTCGAGTCCAGTGCTTCCCTTTGGTGTGGACTCACAGGAATAATTATGCCAGAACAAGAACGCGGCCGTTCATACGAGAGCGGTGTGGCTATGAACAAATCATTTCACCCTTATGATCTGACAGGCTGTTTCAAGCCCGCGCCTGTGTAACACAAAGTGCGTTGTGTAGCCGAAACGAGACTACGATATCCCAGCTGGTTCCTGACGGCCTCTGTTACGTTAACCTGCTTACAGTGCGTGCTGGGCGAGTGTTGCTATTCTTATTTAGATAAAAAATTTTGGTTAAGTGAACAGAAAGAAATGATGGAATACACTGGACCGACGGAATAAAGCCAAGCCCTTTGGGCAAACGACCGTTGTGAGAGTTATGGGCATACAGTCACATTCGAGAAGGCGAGAATCATTCAGGCTGAAACATGGGGGAGCGACGTACCGCAGATACACGCTGTAAATTTCCTGAAACAGATCTGTGGTTTTCCTTTGCTACACGAGTTGGAAAACACTGCGAATATTCGTGTTTCAAAGAACTGTTTATCAGTGCTTTGGAGCGGAAATGAGGGGTTTTGCCCACATTCTGAAGAACGCGGCTGTGAAAGCAACTTCAAACGAGATGGTTGATATTTATGTGGAATTAGTGGGCTACGTGTCCAAATCACAAAGTCGGTTCTGTGTGATCCACTACCTCCGAAAAGACATGAACAATCATAGGATGCCCAAGAATTTTTACCAGGTCTAAGAGTATTATCATATCAAAGAAAAATAGAAAGTCTTGAATAATTCCCAGAATGTGAAGGACCATCTTGAAGCGTCTCCTTCAGCCTAAAATTAGGAGCGCTGAGAGGTATATTTCTTTCTCATAAATACATTTTCGGTCTCGAAGTAGACGCACAAGTCCAGATAACTTGTCATCACCGTTAAGTATTATTTGGAAACCGTACTAAACCTTCCACCCTGTCCCAGTGATCAGCCTTTAGACATTAAATGTCTTCATACACATTGTTAATTGCGTGACGTAATTATTTGTTTCCCTATACCTCAGGCTAATTCATTACCCTTCTGGTGACTGCTCAAGTTTCAAGACTGAACTATTCTATTTTATACAAAGTCGATTCCATATCAACCTTTTTTCTATAGTCAAGTTGTTCACATTCATTTCTGGGTTTGTTGTCGAACATTTTGTCCCACTTTGAATTGAACAACATTTTTCCCTTTTAATTTTTCTGACAGCTCACTGACCTTCGTGTGCCATCCTGTGTTGCTAACTGCCCAAGGTTCAATCTAACCGTAAGCCTTTCTTTAATTCTCCTCACGACTTACTGGTAATTTCCCATAGAACCACGGTCAATCTGTTTATACTATCTGCCCACGTCCAATTCAATATATTGTTCATTGCACAGTTGGGACTACTGAACAAACGCAGGTAATGTTCGTAGAATTCGGTCTCGCCGCAGTTATTACTGATCATCGGTCGGTGAATTAGTTTGCACGTTACCTTTCAGATTGGACACTTAGATCGTGCATTTGTGGAGGTTTTCAAGTAGTGGACTTGGACAATCTAACACCTCTATCGTTGACCAGCAAAGAGATCCATGTAATGATCACGAAAGTACTGCATAGGGTATGCTAAAGTACTGATCAAGCTCTGATGGTATCGTACTCATAAAATCATTGGATCAGCAGAATTGTAGCTGAATTTAAGAATGTCGTTAAACCAGGAAGCTACATCGAGTTTCGCGGAGCTTCGACACAAATGCTTGTGGGCAACAGAGATCGAAGAACGTTTGAAGACCGCTGGACCCGATTGGGAGGAGCTGTTGTAGATATATTTGGGTTAAAGAAAGAACAAAACAAAGCCTTTTTTGACTAATTCATTTGATCTACTTTGCAGGAAACTTTAGTGTTCTTTAAACGAGTCCAAGTTTGGACAAGTTAAAGCCCGAGAGCAAGCTTCTGAAATATCTGGAGAACACAAACACAGATGGTGGGGCAAACAAATATTATTCAGATCACCGTTGTAATGAAGAATTTTTGAGTGGACTGTAAAAGTTCTGTTGGCTGGAATTCCTAGGTATTCAGCTGCTAAAGAACTAACAAACATTGCAAAACAAACAAACAACAAGCCATAAGATTTGAGGGACAATTCTCCAATAGTATTCAACTTGCCAGACAATGTTTCTTTGAACAACTAATCCCACCCCAATCTGATGACCGACATAGCTGACTTGCCCACAACCTACCTGAAAACTTGGAGACCGCCAGATAGGACGGATTACCTAGAGAAAGTAACCATTATCTGCCATTTGCAAGTTGGCAAGATGGCCAAAGTGGTTAGAGCGCGAATTTACTGACCGGAAGGTCCGTGGTTTGAATCCGATCTCCGCCACTCGGCTTTCCCTTTCTAGGCTTGGGCAAACTGGCAGTATCCCAGCCCTCGTGCTCCCTTCGGGTGGCATGGCAGCTAGGCAACGGAGGGGTGTTACAGCTGAACGCCTTTTTATACGCAAGTTGAGAGGCGTGAAAAATCCGGGTTCGAAATGGTAATTCTTCGTGATGAAAAGAAGGGGTTTCTCCAACAAACGGAGAGCCACAGAAGAATCACCCCCTTGGGCACAACAGGCTAAAGTCTGAAGCACAAGGTCTGTCGTGTAGCAGTGTTAAAGCTGAATGATATTCAACTTAAAACTATCCCTAATGATTGGGACGTTTAAAACCAACGGTAGAAAATTGTATCTCAAAAATCTTTCCTACATTCAACCAGAGAATGAATCTCGACCTCCAGAACAGCAACCTTTTGGTCAATTTTGAAAAATTATGCTTACACTTGATTCTACAGAACGGCCTGAAGAACAACTATCCACGCAAGCTCGAGAACCTCTGAATTGCAAAACGTTTTACTGCTGCAAAGCAAGCGAGATTTTTGGAAGGGAATCGGTCGATCACTAGTGAATGTCGGGTTGTGCGAAATGTGGGATCTCTTGTCATAGTAGATCGGGATTTTGAGTCAAAAGCCTACCCATCCATTTACCTATTAAATGAAAACAGCTTGAACGGACACATGTTGGCTCCACCAGCACTATTTTGTCATGTCTAAAATGTTAGACATTCGCTTGATGACATGCCACCAAATTAACTTTTACCACGCTAAAGTTGTGTTGATGGATATCTTCCGTCAACACTGGTATGGTGCACTAGTGGTACGGGTGCGGTGAGAAATCTAACGAGTGATGCCGGCGACTGTTGCCGTTTTGTAACATTTCAACCGCCAGTGCATGTTTCTCGGCTTCTGTATTCTGCTGGGTGTACAGCTGCCCAAAGTTCTTGGTTGGAACACAATGTGGCTTTGTGAAGGCTGCCTGTAAGCCTCTGAGGTGAGAGCATCGAGTGATCTACCCACCGCTAACCAGGAAAACTGATTGGAATGTCAACCATCAGTGTGAGGACTGGAGCCGAGCGCTGTCTCCCATCGGCTTCAAGGCAACCAGGAAATCCTCGCCTGATATACCAAGGTGGGGAAAAGCGAGGACGACACGAGACATTTTGTCTACATGAACGTGTCATCAAAAAACACCCAAAGTCATACTGCATTCTTTCGTACTTGACCTCCGATAGAATAATTTATTCAACTCCCAATCCTTGCCCTGCGCACATGAACAATATTTAGTATGGAATTTCAAGAGATTTGTTCAGTTGCTGTCATGTTTTGTTAGCGCTAACACAAGCGGTCTCAAAGGTCCAGAAATCCTCCCCATCCGAGACAAGATTACTTATTCTTCTTTGGTCAGCAGACTGTGGTTTCTAAATTTTGAAGCTCTACCATATTTCGTCAAGAGTAAATCCTGCCATCTCTAATTGTTCTATTTTGAAGGCCTGTTGGCACCAGATCGTGAGACATTCACTGTAGACTTGGTCCAGCCAGTGCTGAAGAAATAGGTGACTGAATACAGGCAGTTCTATTGTGAATGCTGTAGGAATACACTAAGAAAAGATCATCTGCGTGCGTATGCATCGTGAAGTCCCCAAAAATCTAGAGTCAGCCTACCACCTAAAGCAAGGTGTCCTGTCACGTGCCGCAAGTTTGGTCGCTTTTTCCCTGCGCGTTATGAATTAGGTTTACATTGAAAAAGGAAACTGAAGACCGGACAACCGAGCAAGTGGAGACGTCAGATCCGTGCTTTTCAAAAGATGGTATCACAAGCAGATCGTGCAGGAACGACATAGTCATTTTATATTCCTCATGGGTTTTTATACACCGTTGACACGAAACGTTCGTGAGGTATAACGTGTTCACCATGTAGTTATATGCCCCGTTTGCCTAATCCTCAGTCAACAGTGGTCTCATTACAAGATTTTTGAAGTACCGTCCTTTCCCTTAAACCATATAACAAGAAGCGGGGAGTCGAACGATCTCCATGTAACAATACACAAGCGGCATCCGTCAAAACACCACCAGGCTCAAGTAAATTGTCCACAACATTTGTTGGGTTTCTGGTGGAAAATATCATCTACACATGTTATTATATGATTGCAAGACAGAAGAACTTGCATCCGGTGTTGCTGTGGCACAGGGGATCCGCCGGACAGCTAACCTGACATCTACGTAATACCAGGAAATGTTCATAAATTGTAAGGATAACTTGCAGACTAGAAGAGAGTTCTCAGTGCCCCGTACAGGGATGCAAGCGGTACGAAGTATAGCAGGATATAAAGGTTGACTTACGTTTTAGTCAGAAGAATACTATGATCCCTTCAATCAAGCATTTTGTGCTATGAAGTTAACTAACGGTAACCGGATTTTTGGGAAATTAATTGCTCCGAAAGCCAGCTTATATTAAATTACT